GGGGAAATTCATGTGGTCAAAATTGCACGTCTCACATGACAAACAGCATTCAAACAGATGACAAAACAAACAGACAGTAAACATACCACATTATAAACATGACAAAAATACAGAAAGGGCAAGCAAATAATTAAAATTGCATAAATATGCAAAAGGGTAAAGTTAAGGTCCAACAGATATACTTGGTCTGTTATTGTGCAGTCTAATTGCTGTCGGCACAAATGACTTATGATACCTTGTTGTTCTGATTACTCTCTGCAGAATTCTGCCATTCGATCTATTACTTCTGACAAACATCAAGAACAGTGGTTGTGTAGGATCATCTAAAATTTGTTTTATCTTTTCCATAATAAGCTCATTGCACAGGTGGGCTGCAGATACCTGATCAACTCCAATGACCCTACTGGCTAATTTGATAAAATGCTGCAATTTCTTATGATCCTGTGCATGCATATTTCCAAAGTTACAAATTATCCCAAAGGACAAGACACTCTGCAAAAGAGCTTTATAAAATAATTGGAGAATGCCAATATCTAATCTAAAAACTTTTAGTTTCCTGAGAAAAAAACATCCTCTGTTGCAGTTTTCTGCAATTGTTCTATGCACAATGATTAAAACACAATTTATTGTCTACTTCAATTCCTAAATATTTGTAAGATGAGACCCACTCGATCTGTTCACCAATAATCTCGGACGGAGAAACCCTTACTCCTTTCTTACTAAAATCTATTAACATTTCTTTTGTTTTCTTTACATTGACCTGTAAAAAATTGTCTGTGCACCACTTACTGAAACCTTGAACCTCCCATTTTAAAGCCTTCTAAAGATGAGGTGTCAGAATGTAAAAAACCAACCAATACAGTATCATCAGCATACTTAAGATAAGTATGAGCAGGAGAAGCTGCTTGGCAATCATTTGTATAAAATGTATCCCTGCGGTGCTCCAATATTGATGGTTTTTAGGGAGGAGACGTGAGTTAAATTTCACTTGTTGACAACGGTCAGTCAAAAAGTCATAAATCCATAATAATTCATGCCCCTAATGAGTGAATGTAAACTTCTGAGCACAACTGTACTATGTGTGAGGATGGGGGAAGCATGCTGGATTCCCTAAAACACCAGCACTCCTTGTTTCACCCTTATCACTTGCATCCCCCCTTGCGGTGTGCATCCCCCCCCCATTACACTTGGGGTACCAGCCTGCTCTAGTCTGGATCTTAAACCAAGGCCCAGGTTGTTATTCCTAAGATTCTACATCTGAGCCACACAAGTTGGAATGCTGGCCTTCCTTTGCCTTGGAATCATAGGCGTAGTTTAGGGGGGGCCAGGGGGGGCACTGGCCTCCCAGACCAGAGCCAATCAATTTGGCATTTCATGGTGTGAGAACATGAACTCAATGACATACAAAGCATCTGGCCTCTTGTGTTACAGTATATAATCCAAACATAAACACGCCTGATTCAGACCATTGCTCCTGGCCTTTCTTTCACTTACACCAAGCAAACTGATTTAAACTATTAAGTGATTACATGAGTATAGGGGCTCNTGATAGGGATACAGGATTGGTTAGTTTCAGTTTGAATATTGTGTTTATCTGAGTTCAGTGATGGTCGGTAGTATAACTGACTGTAAACACAATGTCTGTTACAGGTATGAATACTGACAGCACTTCTGTGCCTCCATCATCATGGTACATTGTGCTGATACTTGGCATTCTCTGTCTCTGCCTCTGCATTGGTTTCATCTATTTTGTAAGACACAGAGGAAAAAATTCAGAGGTAACTTAAGTTTTTCATTTAAATATTCAGTTATTAATTAATGAAACACAATATGTATAAATGTGTGGAGATAAAACTCTCTTCAATTTAATACTTATACTTTACTTATACTTATACTTTAATACTTAGTCATTTTAACTTATGCATTCCAAATCACACCTTTTGTACCCTGTAATGCATGTTGACCTGTAAAGTGCTGTATGGTGACGCAAACACATCTGCATTAGCAGTGTAATAACGCCTGTTAACCTGCAGGGGGAGCTGGGCCCGGATGGAGCAAACACTGAGTACATGGTGCCACCGACCGCAGAGAAAGCATTTCCCCCAAATACCCCTCAGGATAACACTGTGTACTGCACTGTGGGACACCCAAAGGACCTGCCCCCAGGACCACCCCCACCAGCTCACTGTGATGACACAAGTATTTACAGTCAGGTGAAAAAATAACATGGACTTTTCTACAGAATGACTGCTGGCTGGAACTTTTTAGCTCATGCCTGTGATGCTACTTCCTTTGCAGTGGGTCTGTCTGTACTGTGAATGTTCATGCACTTTTCAGCTCATGCATGTGACATGTCCTGCTTAGCAAAGAGTCTGTGTGCACATTGCGATGCATCAGAGTGTAATGTGGACAATGTGATGTGTTACCTGCCAACATGCATGAGGAGGTGATTTGTACATTAATGTCAGTGTTAATCATCTGCACTAAGCATGATGCATTTATAACTGTTTAGCAGATGTTTGTTATCCAAAGAGACATCCAATAAAACAGACAGCAGGCAGTCCTTAGAGCTATTGGGGTTAAGGTCTCAGCTCAGGGTTTGAAGCCGTTTGCTACTGAGTCCTAACCGACTGATCCTCACCAACAGCGTGTTTGTGTGTCAGGGAGTGAGCTTGTCTGGCTAGGAGTTTATACACCAAGCTGCGTGAGTATTAATGTGTAAGAAATCCTGCTAGCATTGCTGGGGTAGATAACTGCAAGTGCTGTTTATGGTGGAAAAAAGTTAATTTCAGTATTTCATTTTGCAGCTAATACTTATTTTGTGTGAAATTGGGAAAAACTGATTTTAATCTTTTTAAGCTGTCATACAGAAAACAAGCCAGCAGCTACTTCCCCTTTTATTTTATTGCCACTTGCAGACACAGACCAATAATCAGTTCTTACTGCTTACTGATTACCGGATATAGCAGCATATGCAGGCTGACATTTTCAATGCAATGTCAATCGGAAGTGTTTCATCTATTTCATAGATTACTGTATTGTCTGGTTGTAAAAGAGTTAAGATGTACAAGGTTAGGAATGATTTAGGTGGATGTATGTATGTATTTGAGCCTATATATATATAATTTTGAGCCTGTGTGGATTTTAGAAAATCTAAAATATATTCAAACTATATTCTTGTTTTAAAAAATCACTGAAGATATATGTTGTATAATCTTTCCACCCTGTAAAAAATAACGGTACAAATAAATCATTAAAAGCCCAAAATTAATGTGACATTCAAGGTCAAGGTCAAGGTAAACTTTATTATCCCCCCAGGGGAAATTCATGTGGTCAAAATTGCACGTCTCACATGACAAACAGCATTCAAACAGATGACAAAACAAACAGACAGT